GGCTCGGTGAGAGCGGGCCGATGCCAGGGCTGGACAGGCTGGGTGTCCTTGCTCTGAGCTCCCCTGGCACCCAGCCTGGACAGAGGGCACCCAGGTGGGTGACCCCAAGGCACATCCCACCCCGGGGCCAGCAAGGCGGATAACACACAGCGACCGGCACGTGCCGCAAACCAGCTTCTCCAGCCCACGTTTCCTACCATCAGCAGGTTTTTACAGCAGGAAACATCTCCGAATGGCGAGGGGAAGGCTCCAGTGTGAGCACAGGGGAGACGAAGGGAGGAAGGCACGGAGCTGCCGGCTTCCCAGCATCGCCCGCGCTGCAGCCGGCTCCTCGGCAGAGCAAGGGCTGTGCTGCCAGGGAGAAGCGATGGAGGAATAATGCAAAGACCCACATAGACCTAGTCCCCCCCGCTGCCCTTCTGCCAGCAGCTCGTTAGAAATAAGAGTGCAAATCCAAATTAGGGCTGGGGGAGCACATGCTCACGCGTGTGTTTACACTCCCACTCCGGTTCCACACAGGTCTCGTGCAGCGAGACAGCACGCGGAAAAGCAGCCGCGTTCAAAAGGCGGTGGGAGATGCCTGGCTTCTGCCGTGGGCTTTCACGTCAGTGGGTTTGACTGTGTGTTACTTCGAAGAAATCAGTATTTAAGAAAAAAAATAACCCACTTTGCTTTTAGTTTCATGGGACTGGGAAAAAAAATGGTTCAGGTCAGTCCAAAATTCACCTTACTTTCTGAGTTGGTTGTTGGCAGAACTCAAAACCAGCCCGTGAAGGAACACCTTCTGTACCAAGCAAATATTATACATCTACCCAAAATGAGCTATTCGGGAGTCTTCGTGGGTTATTTAACTCTGTCATCAGCTTCTTATATTCGTGCCTGTCCCTGCTCTGCCTCATCGTGCCGACTCCATCCCGTGGCCTCTCCAGCTCCTCGGCCTGGGATAAGGCGTAAAGAGCCCGAGGTCGGCTCTGCCCCGAGCAAAGAGCCCCGGCGAGGTGCGGGAGGACCTCAGGTGAGCAAGAAACTGCCATTTCCACCCCGCCCCTTCGCAAAGAACAAACCCACTTGTTACACGCCACGGGGAAAACCCCGAGCCGGGGCGAGAACAGATACCAGACTTTAAAGACTAACAAAGGTCGTGCCGAAACCTCCCAGTTCATCGGGTTCAGCTCTGTCGCGGCCGCTCTGCAACGCCGGGCGCTGGCAGCGAGACTCGGCGGAGGGCCAATAAACCCACCCGGCTGCTCCAAACTCCCTGCCAGCCCACCCGGAACGCCCGCCTGCGTGGGCTCCCGCAGCCCCGTCCCGCTGCCGAAAGCCCGGTGGCAAAGCCAGGCAGAGCAGGGCTGCTCCCCGCTCCCTGGCTCGGGAAGGGAAGGGGGGCAAATCCTCGATAACTCAGGTTAATCGAAACCTCCCGCTTTAGGCTCGCAGCCGCGGCGCGCGGAGGCAATACCAGCACAACACGCTACCCCGTAATTGTACCAATCTCTGCACATTTTGACAGATGAGTGAATCAAAGTTTATTGCGCAATAAAAGCGTCATTAAGCAAGAACTCTCCTCTCGCCAGGTTTTCGTTCCCCTAGTTAATTTTAATAACACGGTACTCCCCTTTATTGTCTCTCCCAGCAGACACAGTCCTGCCTCCTCCCGCCTGGAAACGCTCCGTGCAGCTCTGCGACTCCGGAGCAGAGCAGACGACTTTGGCGTCTCGCTGTCCCGGGGCTGTATTCTCTTACCTCCCTAAGCAGACACGACACGGGGTTTCACGCCACGCACCAAAAAGCCGGGGGTGGACGGCAAAGCCAGGCTGATCTCCTGGCTGGCGGGCACTGGGAGCAGAGGTCACCATCCCCATCTGCCCAGGCACCCCGGGGTGTCAGGGCTGACTTCCCGTGGGACTCGCATCTTGCTTGTTTAACTCCCCGAACCAGCTGCCTCTGGGCTCAGACTGGTGCCAGTACCGGGGGAAAGTGTGGCTGGGGGGGGTGGGCGGCGCCGCGGGGGAGGGGCG